CACAGCACTTGATCAATGTAATTCTCATCAATCAGTTAAAGAGCTTTCCAAAAGGGAAAAAAAACATTTTTGCACTTTGCAAACTCCCCAAAACGGCCCGTTTTTCACAAAAATGCGCCTGTTTTTTTCTTCAAAAAAAGGCATGTATAGCCTTGGGGGGCTTGCAGTGCTCCTGGGAGGTGTGTGTCTGTGTGTGTGTGTGTGTGTGAAACGAACAAAAAACGGCCCGTTTTTTTGTCAAAGAAATTGCATGCATAGCCTTATGGAGGCTTATAGAGTGCTGCTGGGGGCTGGGGAGACAAAAAATGGCCTGTTTTTGCTCATTTCTGCCCTCCCCAGCCCCCACGAGCTCTCTGAAATCGTCCATAAGGGTATGCATGGCCATTTTGATGAAGGGGCGGGGCTTCGGGAGGCAAAAAATGCTGCATTCAGTGTATAAGATGCACCCAGATTTTCAGCCTCTTTTATGAGGAAAAAAGGTGCGTCTTATACTCCAAAAATACGGTACCTTGTTTTCACCTAAATACTACAGTAAATGTTTACCTTAGCAGCAGAAGCATTCCCTTGTCTCCTAGATGAGAAAGTGCTGGTTTCATTTGAATGAGGGCATGAAGATTAGCCTAAAAAAGAAAACGAGGGACAGAGTTAACATGGTATAACAATTTAATTATTAATATAATATATAAGCAGGATTAATATAAAAAATAAGGCTTATTTCTTCTTCAACCAAGTAAGAAGGAAAAAGTCTCACCTTGTCTTCACATGCTTCATCAAGGATATCAAGTGCTTCAGAAGAAATGGCTTTATTTTTGTCATGAAGCTGTGTGACAAGTAACTCAATTCCCCAATTGCTGAAGAACTCCACATTGGCCCTCAGAAGTACTCGGAGGTGTTTTGTAGCATATAACCTACAATTCTATGAAACAAAAAACAAACAGATCATTGGAAAACCACAAAATGGAACTTGATTAGCAATTGGGTTTACATATACAACACATACATGTCCTTGTACAAATGATGTCAATTTCAGATCAAAAGTTGGAGTCTAATTGATCTAGAAGCTTCTGTCTTCCATAACATTTTCCCCAGTGGTGGGTTCCAGATCCCGGTGCAAAGGGGCCGGGCATCCACCACATGAACCCGTGCAGCGTGCGCACTAACGTGCACATGCGTACTTACCGCCTCTGACGCTCCAGCTACTTGGAGTGTCACACATGCGCGTATGCTCCGTGGGCATGCACATAAGCCCCTAAAACGTCAAATACCAGTAAGGAGCATGGGCGGATGGGCGGGCCCTCTGGAGCACCGTACCGGAATGGTATCTGGTGCTCCCGGCAGGCACCGGTACTAACCCACCATTGATTTTCCCCAAATATAATATATTTAATTGAAAGAAAATTAAAAAGAAAGATTAGGTCCCTTGCTCCAACATTCTCCTTAAATGGGGAGGGGACGATATAGCATTAGTTTCACTATAACTACAGTAAAAGTCACAGATAAGCTTTTTCTATCAACCTTTCCAGTGGGCGATTTTTGAGGAGGGAGAAAAAGAGATTTAATTTAGAATCAGATTTTTTGGGTTAAATATCACATGTGTAAGTGTATATATGTACAGTGATGCTTAAAAATTTATGAATCAATTTGACTTTTCAATATTTCTGCATAAATATGATTTAATTTAACTTGGGCAGATGAGTAAAGTAAACTGCAGCAGAAATGGTAATTTATAGTAAAGAATTCGCTGAGAAATGTATAATCTGGACACATATAATGCAGTTTTATAAATTCAACTTTTTCCATGGCTCCATGTAAGGGTTTACTTTTGTTTAGCATGATTCACTGCATTTTATTGTAAGTGAATTTATTTAAAATTGGTTATAGCAATTATAGCAATTAGACTTATATACCGCTTCATAGGGCTTTCAGCCCTCTCTAAGCGGTTTACAGAGTCAGCATATCGCCCCCACAATCTGGGTCCTCATTTTACCCACCTCGGAAGGATGGAAGGCTGAGTCAACC